CTCACGCATGTAATTGCACATTGCATCATGTTTCGCTCGAGAGGGAGGGGAGGGAGGGTTCGTTAGGGGCGACTCCATATCGCCTTATCTGTCACATATATAATCTGTATGGATTTCGCAGTTTTTCTGCGCGTTTTCTTGACACGTGCAACGGTGCAAAGTCGCCTTTGCCTAAGGATCGCATAGAACCTACCCAGAGGCGACATACAAAATGTGTTGCCAGCTGTTTTCTTAATTTCAGCATTGCTGCAACAACAACAACAACATTCGATTAGTTGTAATAGCAACAACAAGAACAACCCTCTGCGTATACCCCTGTCCCTGCCTCTGCCCCTGGTTGCTCTAATTTACAATGCGTTTTTTTTACAATTCGTTGCCGGCTTGGGCAAAAAAAAAAAGAAAAAAGAAAGAAATTATTCACCCTATTTGAAACGATACGAATCCCCCGCTTAGGGGTTGTTGCTTTACTTTAATTATTGGCTCAGTGCCGTGGCCATAGCCGGGGCTCAGCCCTCTTGCATCGGGCAACGGTCACCCTTTGCCGTAGGGGCTGTTGTTGTCGTTGTCGTCGACGCCATCGTCATCGTCGCCGTCATTTGGCACATGTCAATGGCTGCATTTTGGACTTTGGGACATGGCCTGGGCCCAATGCAGCACAGTGGTCTCATCTGTGTCCACCAAATTTTGATCGCTTCTTAGGCTAACGTTTGACAATCTAAATAAATGTTGACGACAACTAAAACTAAGCTCAAACATCATAATCATCATTGTGTTTAGTTTACAGACCACGCCAGTGCTGTGTGGTTAGTTGGCTATTTTAGTCTGTGGCACACTCGACCTAGTCTAGTTAGAGTTAGCCATTGGCCTCAGTGTCCCACTGTGTCGCGCTCCACTTCAGCAGCGACAGCGGCAGTGGCAGCGGCAGCAGACATCGTCAGCGTTGTCGTTCCCATTACAATTTCTGCAACAAAAACCACTTCCACTTCCTGTTCAGTTGTGCAGGAAACCCAACACAGAACAACAACAGCAACTGCAGCAACATCAACAGCAGCAGCAGCAGCAGCAGTGCGCCCGATTCTAACACTAGAAACAAGCAACAGGGAGGGATAAAGAGGGCGAGAGAGGGAGAGGGAGGAGAGGAGATTGATCCGTAGCGGGGCACATCTTGTTGCACCCTTAAGCATTGCTGCTGTAGTATTTGTATTTTTCATTTTCTTTTTTTTTTTGTATTTTTGCAACAATTATAAACGGCACAAGCAACGTAATATCTCTTTGGCCAACTATACAACTTTGGCTACAAATATAGAAGGCGTCTAAACGCGAGGGAGCACCCGCAAATGAGATACCCTGTTGTCAACTTGGAGCCATTGGAACTATTGTTGATATGACGATATTGTTTAAAGAATAGAATTTGCAATTTATTGTATTGTTCCACACTTCTTTTTCTCTTCTTTAAGCCGAAAAAAATATTACAAATGTGTAAATATTGAGTTAAGCTCATTTCAATAATGAGTTAAGGAGTTGGGTATTTGAGAAAGCTATATATACTTTAATATTAATTCAAGTGGTAGATTAAAAAATAATTTATAAATAATTTTGTATTATTAAAAAAATGTTTTGAGTATACATTTATAACATAACAAAAAAATGTGTTAAATATAAATATATATATTTAAAATATTTTGTTTATAATGCAAAACATTTGGAATACAAATACATATTTAAAATTTAAAAAGATGCATTCGCCAAGCATAAAACAAAAAATGTGCTTGAAATTTCGTTGCTGATCTAGAATTTACTCTTCTTGTATAGAATACCCTTTGGTTTTTTCTTTGCACATACCCTGAGTATTGCAGGGTATTGGAATTGACCAACTGACATTTTGTGGATTTGCGTATGTGGTGTCTTTGAGGTGCGTTGAGTTCGTTCCACTTTTCCAGTGCAACAGACGTCTGAAGTGTCTGCTGGGCAACCAACACCACTCCACATTCTACATTCCACACACACTCCACAGTCCGCACTCGGCACTCGGCACAAACACTCCACGCACAAAAGCCATTGCAATGGCAATGGAGGGTGCTGATACTTTTTGGTTTTTCCTTTTTTAAGGGTGCTTCTCATTGCTCGACACTTTAGCGCAAGAAGACGCCCCGTCCAGGTGTGTGTTGCCGCATTTGGCCGTGTCTCTGCGTGTCGTTTCCTTCTACATTTACTTCTACTTCTACTTCTACTTCTACTTTGTTTTTTCCACTTTTCATTTTTCTCATGCATTGGCTGCTTGCCACACATTTGGGACATCTGTTGTACATCAAAATCGTTGTCCGTCCGTCCGTCAGTCTGTCCGTCTGTCCGTCCGTTTTGTAGGTTTGATGTCCTTAATTTGATTTCAGCTTGAATCTAATCCCATCTTGTAGAGCTTCACATCCGCTCGGAAGCTCCCACGCTGCCTGCTCATTAGAGCAAAGAACTGAGCTGAGCTTTAGTTAAGCTAATTGCAGCATCAATGTCCTGCACTGTCCTTTCATAGGAAACATACACAGGGGCAACAGCAACAACAGCAGCAACAACAACAACATCAACAGCAGAGAGCAGAGATTTACTGATCTACAAATTTCCAGGAATTTTGTGAATGGAAAAACAAAAGCGCAACGAACGTTGCGAACGCGCCGCGCCGGCAGTGTTTAGGCAGACGAGTTGCTCTACCTATCCAACCTGAACCCAAAACCCAAACCTGAAGCAGCAGAACAGAGCAGCCGCAGTTGAAGCCGCAGCCGAAGCAGAAGTCGAAGCTGATGTTGATGATGATGCTGATGCTGAACCTCGGCCCTGTGTGTGTTGTGTGTTATATCTTATGAATATACACTCTCGTCTCGTACTTGCCTCTGCCCGTGGGCCTCTGCGGCTTGATGTTTACTTTTTGTCTTCTTCTTTTCTTTTTTTTTTTTTGTTCATCCGAAGGTTCCTCTTCTTGTTTTTCGTGGCCTGTCCCGGCACAGCTTTTGAAGCACATCTCCCTCTCTCTCTCACTCTCTCTCTCTCCTTGTCTCGCTCGCTCTGTCGTTATTGTTACTTAAAATAGCTGAAAAACGTGAGCGCATATCCCAAATTTGAAAACCGGTAAGCCAGACCAAAGGCAACGACCAGGTAGTCAGAGGTTTAATGAGCACCCGATCTGAGCCTTAGGCCAACAGGCACACACAGGCACTGGGGAGATGTCCAGTTGGGAGCCACCTATAACCACCTTGTGGACGTTTCTCGAGCAGCGGGAGATACCAATAAATTTGTTTGATTATTATCAATTATCTTTAAGAAATTTCACTTGTTGGCTTGTGATAAGAACCAAATCAATAGCATTCTGCTTAGATTACTGTTACATCTACCATCATAAACCAAACATGTATATTTTAGAAATAGACTGGCTTTGGCTTCTTTGCAGACAAATCGATTTGAATTTCTGTTAACTCTGTAACTGACTTCCTCTACAAAAGAATTGACTCATTGCATTTTTTATATACGTTTATTTAACTAGTCTATCTGCTCCACGTACACACAATTCTTCAAACTTTGTTTTTCGGAAATTTCTTATCAGCTAAGAGTTCAACGAGTCCAACGAACCTCTTCTAAGCCATAGAAAAACAAAAATTTCAATGGTGTTCTACCAAGAGCATACCCCCTCCCTCCCCCTCATTCCAAAACCCAAACCCAAACCCATTTTGGCATGTGCTACAATGAGAGCCATAAAGCAATAACAGACGACAGCTGCAAACTACCTATTCCAGTAATACGTCAGTCGTCGGTCGTCAGTCAGTCGTTGGTTAAGTTGGGGAGAGGAGAGGTTAGCGTCGCGTCGCGTTGCGTTGCGTTGCGTCGCATTGGGTTGAATTTAGTTGAGTAGAGGTATGTCGCGGAGTCCTTGCAGTCGTCCCATCGTCCCGTCATCCCTTCTTCAAACCTCATCGAACCTCAAACTGTATGCAACTTCTGACAGTCAGTCGCCGCCGCTGCAATGCTCTCCTATGCAGCCTGTACACAGGATATGTACAAATCGTCTGTCTATGTATGCTTGGGGGTACAGTTCCCAATTGACTGCACACACACACACATATATATATATACATATATGGATATATCTGTGTGGTTTTTGTATGTGTATGTGTTTGTTTGGGGCGGCAATTCATCTCCTGTTTCATATCCGTCTGCGCTGAATTTTTGATTTTCGACTTATTTGCTTATTTCAGCTGATTAATTTCTGGCGCGTCCGAACAAATTGCTTATGGATTTCGGTCTTAAGTCTGTAATTTTGGGCATTGCCCGACTTTTGTCCTGTGCTCCTCTGTTATTATATGCGCCGATTGTTTTTTGATTTCCGGTTGTATTCTAATTGTGATTCCTTATACACAAAATTCTTTATTTGCATGGGGGGGCCTATCTCGGCTTGGTTAACCAGCTGCTTCTGCTGCTGCTTCTGCTGTTGCTGCTGCTCTTGCTGGGTGCTAATTGTGTGGAAGGGTTCAATGACTGACCTGCCTAGACGAACAGCTACTAGCTGCACTCATCGGCCACTTAGCACCTGTCGCCGAGCCACAAATACCCTAACATTCAACTTACCTTTCTGCCTGCCCACTGCTCAGGCCAATTTCAAACGTAGCTTTTTTTGTTATTTTCTCCTTTTTTTTTGTTAATGTTAAATCAGGGACATATGCAAAAGTTGCAGACGCATTTTGTTATTGTTCACAAACAACCCTGCGCTGGGTGGGCCAGGGGCGAGCGATAGAGCGAGTGAGCAAGCAAGTGATCAAGTGCGAGAGAGCGAGAGAGAGATCGCACATGATCACTGCATTATTATCCTCCCCAATTGTTTTGCTTTTGGCTTTGCCTTACTCGCTGCTGCATTCCTGTCGTACGCCCCGTTACTCTGCTACGCTCTCTCTGTGCTCTCACTGTGCGACACGCTCTCTCGCCTGCATGCAGGCATGCATGCACACACACACACACACATACACACACAGCTATCGATCGCTCTCTTCCTCTCGCTCTCTCTCTGTCTGTTTCAGCTCTCACTTGGTAGTTCGAAGTTCGAAGTGCTGTTGTTGTTGTTGTTGTTTTTACCCTGCAATTGCATTCCTGTTTGTCTGCCGTCGCCGCTCTGCTTCCTCTTCCTTTGGCTGTGGCTGTTGCTGTTATGTTGTGCCTTTAGTTGAGCTCTGTCTGCGGCCAGAACTACGCAACATTTACAAAACGAACGCTGCAGAAAGTGGAAGTGAATCTCCAGAGAGGCGGCACTCAGATCGAAGCGATCCGAACCGATCCGTAGAGCGGTTGTGTTATACAATTGTTGATCATGACGTTGTCGTTGTTTATATGTTAAAGTTTTTACATCGCTAAAGTGACACACAAAATTATTATTATTGTTATTATTTCAATAATTTGTTGAAAAAGTTAACGAAGTCAACAAAGCAACCATCAAGTCATAATAACTCGCTTACAAAGTGCATACAAAATTTGCTCAAATTTCTGTAAACTAAACACACAAAAAACAAAACACACACACATACACACACACACACCGAACGATGCTAACCAATACCAATGCAGTCTGAACACACAAAGGATTACAAAAACGAAAAGAAAACAAAAACTAAACTTACAAAAAAAAAAAATACAAAATTTCTCTTAAAATATTATGAAATTATAAATTTTGGCTGATCGAAAACTTCGAATACTTAAAATGCAAATTCAAGTTACTTATTTTTAAAAATCAATTCCAAATTTTCGCAAATGCAATACGTTTTTTAAAATTACTTAAACTTAATTATATTTATGTCTATTTTATATTGTTATTTTTTCGCATTTCGCAACTATTGAACTTTCTATTTTAAATACTGTTAAGCAAATTCTCATATGTGCTAAGTGTTTACTTTCGACTTGTTCTAAATTTTGTTAATATTTTTTAAAAAAATCACACTTATAAACATAATTATTGGTTATATTCGACCTTGGAATTCTTTTTATACCAAAATACCAAAACTTTCCTTCACTTATCTATAAACGTGAATACATAGTTAAGTCACACAATAATCAAATAACATATAATTTAAAATACAAATCATTACCAAAATTCAACAAAAAGGAAAGAAAACAAAAACAATAACCTTTGGATTACAAATCAAAATTCAAATTCAATGCCATTCAACACGTAAGTAAAACAAACAAACAAAATTTACTCGCTGAAATTCTCACTTGACACTCGTTACTTTTGATACCCATTAAAAATGTTTGGAAGGGTATACTAAATTGTGCCTAGACTGAAACTGATTTAGACTTATCTGTATGCTAATCTCTTTCTTTTTATTTATCTATATCAATATTGAAATTAGTGTTTTTGATTTTATTTATTAATTCATTTTGTTGCCTTAGTCGAGTAGTCAAGTAGTCGAGCACTCTCGACAAGATGCACTTAGTTGCATTGTTTTTACTATCTTTTGTTGTTATACGCTGCATTTATTGAAATGTGTTAATTGGGGTATAATGATTTTTTCAAAATATGTAACAGATAGAAGGCAGAATGGAGAGCATCTCCGAATTATATATATTCTTTCGGCTGTGTGTACAAGCCGATCTCAGAGACTATAAGAGCCAAAGAAATTTGACAACAAACAGATCAATCATTTTTTTATTGACGTTTCGCTAATATTGATAGAAATCGATTAACGATTAATCGATTAAAAGCCACAATATTAAAAATATATATTCTAATCAGACATATTCATACAATTCCATAATATTCATCATCTGTTAAATTAGTTTAAGTATCTACGACTTGTGATGGGTAATGACTTTGGAACTGGGTATCCCCAAGCACGACTACAGATCCCGTACTTATTAATATTATAGATAATTTGTTTAATTTATTATTTTTGCATTTTTGCCAACGAATTATTATATAATTAAATGCAATTAACGAATCTTAGTTACTTGTTTTTGAGAATCGCATTTTATGGCTTATAGAGAAGATCATTGAACGCGACCTGAAATTATTTATAGCCAGTTGGCGACTTGAAACCCAATCAAGTCCAACAAAGATACTCAGATTCAGATGGTTGTGTTGGCAGTGCCAGTCTAACCATATATAGCACATACCTCTATATATGTATAGCTATACGTATGTATGTATGTATGCGTATTAGGGCGGACAGGTAGTCAGCACTTAGGTGTGTGTGTGTTTCTGTGTGTGTGTGTGTGTGTGTGTGTGTGTGTGTACACATGTGCCACGTCCACTGTCCCCTGTCCACGCATTATAACCCTAACCCCATTTGGTAACCTTTTGTTTTTGTTTGTAAGCAACGCATGATACGGTTACGCCTCAAAACATAAATTAAAATCGACTCACATGCACATGTGCTGTAACAGCCACAAGTACAGTGAATACAGCATAACAAGATATTTTTTAGAAATGTTTTTCACTTTAGAAATTTGAATTGAAAATTCATTTGTAATGTTTCCCCCACAATCTAATTTTAATTTATCATTATTCTATAAAAAAAAAACAAAAACATCTTCTATAAAACTAAAAATAAAGCTTTTATGTTTGTCAATCACAAATGTTTAGTGTATTACGGCATCAATATTTCAATAATTATGAATTTAAGCGAATTCGAATTTAAAATCTTTAAACAGAAGCGTTCCAGTTTTCGAGTGAGCAAAACGCTTTAGCTTTATACTATCTGTAATTTCTTCCGTATTATAGCTAATGCTAAATTTAGATCTCTTTTTATATTTCTTATCCAAGCAACACTGTAATTGCTCTTCAGTTTAAAATTACTAAAGGTAAGAGTTGCCTGAATTTAGCTAGTGCCCCCTTTTGCCGCAAAAGCGTTGTCTGTAAAAATAATTAACATTTGAATCAAATTAGTTTGCAATTAGTGTAAGGGGGAAGTGGGTGCAGAAGGTGAGATTTACAGCAATGAGGGAGGGGGAGATGGGATGGTATGGATGGGGCTAACTTCCGTAATAGTCACTTATGTGTCGGGCTGCTCTGCCTGTCTGCCTGCTTTGCTGGCTCTGCTAGCTGTGGGCACTTTGCTCAACGACACGGCGACAACATCAATTTCGCTACTGGCTTCTCTCTGCCGGCAAATTCAATAAATTTTGTGTCAAGCTTAGTCAAACGACGCGTCAGTCGGAAGTAGACACAGACACAAACACACACACACACACACACACACACACACCGACAGAGTCACAAACTAAATAATGCTTCTTGAAAGCTGGCCACCCTAACCAAAGAGCAAAGCAAAAGAAGAAACAACAACAACAACAGCAAAAACAACTTTACGTTCAACAATATGACTGACATTCTGTCAAACATGCAGCGACGTCAACGTCAACGCCGACAGCGATGACGACGACAACGGCGACAGCGGCGGCAATTTCTCTCAAACTTTAATGTCCGATGCGTTTTTGTTTTATTTTTTTTTGCGCAATTTATTTTTTTTTATTCACTTTTATTTTCAAATTTGAATATTGCCGTCGCTCAGATTCTCAAGTAGTTTTCAAGTTGATTGCATTCTGCGGCATGTCTGTGTGCCGACAACTCCGTCGTCGTCGTCGTCTCTCCTTTTTCTCTCTCTTTTTCTGTCTCTGTCTCTCCCTTTCTCTCTTTCCGTCAGCTCTCATTCATTTCCCATGCCGCCCGGCTCTATGTGCTCGCCTTGGGGACGTACAGAGGCTGTAAAAAAAACAAAGTTTTGCACCCCACTGGAAAAGGGGTTGCTGTCGAGACGACGACGACGTCGACGTCGACGTTGACGACGAGAATGACGCTGACGATTATGAGGATGTTCCTTCTGTTCATTCCGCTTTAGTTACTTGCTTGCTCCCGGCACTTTTCATCCGACTTGCCAAATACACATAATAATACCCTAACTTTGCTTCCTTAATGGCATTTGAGTTTCGGGCAAGCGTTTGCCACAACCTACATGTTAAATGTGAACGTAATGTTAAAAGCAGCATGTGCTAACTGAAGTACAAAAAGATTACGCATTGCGCAGGTCCGTTATCTCTGTTAACGATGCATTTGATTTTGTGACGTCAAACTCGACCATAATTATATTTATGTATGTTGAAATAGCAACTGTTATCTTTTTTCTTTCCCATTTTAGAGTTGTTTCGCTTACGAAAACAATCAGACTTATCAGTTCTGTAATTAATACAGACTATGTCTAGTCTGAGTGTAAGATTAATGAAATTACAAACATTTTTAATGGTAGCAACTGCAACGATAGTTGAGATAAACGTTTTACCTAACTATTATTTCACCCAGACAATTCATTTATCTATCAATCAAATCCTCTCACAAGCCTCAAGTAATCTGTTTTCCAGTTTCCAATTTCTATTATCTGTTTTTTTATAATCTACATTTTTTTATGCAGCTTCTCATGACCCCTCAGCCAGGCAGGACTTTAAGATGCTGTTATCTTTCTTCCTTTTTTTCGGTCTGAGCTTCTGGCTGAGAAGACGTCGTCGTTTGCTTAGAGCAGAATTTCGTTTGGTTTTTTTTTTCACATAGATACCAACACAGAGTCACCCTTAGGGCCAAATGTTTCCCCCCTTGATTTTTTTCCTTGTGATTTCTGGGCTGCGCTTCTATGCATGTTCAGTGTTTTTTTTGTTTTTTTTTTTTTGCATTATTTTGCTTCATTTTTTTTTTGTTTTTGCTCATAGATAGCACAAATATTTTTTTTTGTTGAGCTCGTTTTGCGATCGTCTGCGCCTGGAACTTCCCACGATCCTTGTGGACTTTTGTACTTAAGACATTTTATGTGTGTGCGACAGTGTCATAAATACTTTTAATTAACTGGAAATGTGTGCGTGCGTGCGAGTGCGCAAGCATGTGTGTGTGTGTGTGTGTGTGTGTGTGTGTGTCTGGTTTTGTGCTATCGCTCTCTCTCTCTCTCCATATGCTGTCCCACTCTGGCCGAGTGCAAGAAATTGAAAGTGAAGTTGGAACGTTGTCGCTGTTGGGCGTGAGTGTTGTTTTTTTTGCAGCGTATTTACCATAATTCGCTTGATTTTTTATAGGCATTCGACAATAGATACATATGCATGTACATACTATGTCTACATATATGTGTGTATGTACATACCCCAGTTAGCGATCGGTAAGCGCATACATCCAAACGTATTTGAGCAGATGTGTTTATCTAGTTCATTGAACCTTGCTCAAAAGCAACAAAGCAACAGCAACAGTTGAAGTTTGGCCTATGGCTTTGAGTAGGAGTTATATTAACATATGTATGTATCTGCATGCACACACATATAAATGTATAAATAACATACTGGGCTACCATTTACCTTTGTCGACTAATAATCAATTTATTTCAAATATCTAATGTAAGACTTGGTAATTCGGTTAATGTTTGGCACTGTAACACTGCTGTTATGCATCATCAAAATCATCAGTTGGCAACATTGTTGATGGCAATAAAAACACGCAACATGCGTACCACACAGACACGCCGATAAAAAGAACACGGTGAGAAACGTAGACGAGAGACGTACATACAAACACACACACACACACACTGATACATACATATGTATGTACATGCGTACAAAACATTCATACATACATATGTACATTTATAGTTGGTTTGTGGGTGCGGTGGCCGTGGAGTTGGAGGCGGCACGTCACTTCCGTCTCTCGGTTTTTATAGCCGGCATTTGAGCGAGTGAAGAGCACGGCTCAAAAACCCAACTCGCATTTACTCACAGAGCCAACTACCTAAATACTAGCTACCTACTGTGTTGAGTCTGGCATCCACATGCCACAAGGCGTCTGCCTACGTTCCACTTACCCATACACATTTAAAAAGTGTTTCGACGACTCAGCTGCTGCTTACGTTAGAGAGCGTCGCTCTCAGCTGTGTACTCTTGCTCTCAGCTGCTGCTCTGAATTCGCCGCGACAGCACACTTAACAGAGCCAAAAGCGTCACAATAACAGTTCAAATTGGCGGCAGCAAATTCGCCGCATTCAGTTTTTCGTTTACGCTCCGCACTGCTGGTCGTGTCTGTTTGTTGTTGCTGTCGTCGCTGTTGTTGTCGTCGCCGTCGTCGTCGTGTCGCTGTTGCTGCTGCCCACTGAGAAAACGAATAGCTACATAAAAGTGTACGCGACAACGCAAAACATCTCACGTAAAACGCCCGTGTGAAGAAAATTAATGTAAAATTCAAGTCTATCCAAATGCTACTGCTAATTAATTGAACAATCTGAAGGAAAAAATTACAAGTGACGTCATCGAGTCTGTACTGTTGGCCTTGCCCAGTTTACATGCAACATTGGAAACTACAAAAACAAGAAGAAAGGGAAGAGGAAGAGGAATAGTCAGAAGAAGAAGCATTTGCAGCACGCCGTCACAGCAGCAAGGCTTAACGTCACGTCGCCTTTTACGTTTTCTCCGTGTTCGCCGCTCTCTCTCTCTCTCTCTGTCGCTCTCTCAGTTCGGTCGCTCGGTAGCACTCTCCGTGATTCTCTCATTCGCTGTAGTGTGTTTGCCGGCGACTCCACTTACTACTACGACGAAAAGACACTCAGGCCAAGCACTCACTTTGCGTTTACGTCGTGGCCCATGAAGTTCGTTTAGCTCGCCGCACAAAAATGTGAAAACTAATGGAAAAAAAAACCGCACACATTGAGACACATTCAGCAAATAAACAAAAACAACAACAATAACAATCATTTAGGACAGACACAGACACACAGCTCGAGAGCATCATCAACACAACAATTATGTGATATCTACAACAAATATATTTTTTTTTAGTCTTAACTGCTGACGTCACACGTCAAAAAGGAGAAAATAAAAGCCTTTGCACATAAATGAAACACGAAAAACGTAGTGAATAATGTACATGAAAACGCAAAAAAATATGAAACGTGTGTGATATTAAATGAGCGCGACAGTGGCAGAAGTACCAACAACTACAAAACAGCAGCAGCGACGTTGGCAGCGGCAGCGGCGACGACGACGCAGGCGACGGCAGCAGCGTTTGCAGTCATTTGCTTTGCTGGGTTGTGCGTCGTGATAATAATATATATGAATATAGCGAAGAAATTCCAATTTAGGTGCGTGCACTTTTTAAATAATAAGTAAATATTAAGACAAACAACAACATGTAACTTATCAATTGCTTTCAAACTGCTGCAAAGCGCCATGTGTTTTGCTTTAGTGTTTGTGTTTGTGCCGACAATTAATCATTCTTTCGAGTTTGCTTTGTGCTGCCTTTTCTCCGTTCCAAAGCCCGTTAATAACCTTTGAATGCCTTTTATGTTTGCGGTGTACGTATGTGTGTGTGTGTGTGTATGTTGCTACTCGAAGTTTAAGTTGAAGCAACGTTTAATTCATTTGTAAATAGCAAACTTGCAAAGCTCACGCCTCCCTCTCAGAAGGTATATATATATAGATATATGTTTTTCCACTTGCTGCTTCTTGCTCCACATTATCATCGTTTGTGGGGCGTACCTGGATTTACTGTCCAAATGTTAGCTAACATTGCTGTTCGTCGTCGGCCTCTCTTCAATGCTGTAATAGTTACTGTTGCTGTTTCTGATAATTCTAACGGCGAACGGATATTGTGAATGCATATTTTTTGCTTTCTACTATAACTCATGACTGCAAATGCGTCATTCTTCGTGTGAGCAGGCAATACTGCCAAAATCAATCTTTTTTATATTTCTGTACGTATGTTGGCATAATGTGATATTTCTGTTACTTTTATCAGTATTGCTTTGTAGGCATTTTTGCTCTCGTAAGTTTCTGATTTCCATGAAATTGAGAAATTTCGACTTCATTCTCAATAAAAGAAAAAAACTGCTTGTCCAGTATTGAATTTCGTATTTTCCTAAGCAACTGGCCAATGGGCGCCCACACACACAGCAAATATAGCAGGCTAACGGCAACTCCCCATCTAATTTTGCTGTTTTTGTTTGCATTTTGCTTGTGAAATATTTTGCGACGCATTTTCTGCGCCTGCTAAAGCAGAGCTCTCTCTCTCTTACTATCTCTGCCTTCCTCTCGTTCTTATTACATGCACCTCTCTGGCGCCTACCAGCTGACAATTATTTTTGGCTTTTACACCCACCAAAAACGTGTACATACATACATGTATGTAAATAACAAACAGCCGCTGTTGAGCCTAACAGTGTTCTGTTGTTGTTATTGAAGGCTTACATTTGCCTTCTGCCTGCCATCTCGCTCGCTCGCAATTGGGTGCGGAATTTGTATCTTTTACTTGTGCTATTTACACTTGTCACTTACTGTTTATTTAAATTGCATATCAAAGTGAGCAGCGTACTCACTCAGCAAGTACAATCAAATAATTAGATTTCGTTGTTAATTGTGGTTTTGTGCAAACACATTTAAAAGAGCAAAGTTAAATAGTCATGTTTTGTCGTGGCGTAATTGGCCCGATGTCAAGTCAAAATTGGTGCATTGCTTAAGTAACCGTAAATATTAATAAGTATTCAATTTATATAAGCCATATATACGTATATATATATATATGTAAAATATATATATATGGGGGTTCACCGGTCCAACAACAAACACAATCCGTGTGGATCCCAGGTCCACAGACCTAAACCTGCTGCGTCGCAATAAACATGCAATCCACACACTAGCCCACAACAGCAGCATCAGCAGCAGCAATATGACAACAACAAAAGCTCTGCCGTGGGACGCATCTGTCTGGTCTGGTCTAACAGCTGTTATGAAAAGCAACAACAATTATAAAGCGGCCGGCTTCTCTCTCTCTCTCTGAAGCCCCAGGTCGTGAGAGCACCCAGCAAGCCTCAGCATCACACTCTCGCGCTAAAAATCCTCTCCCATTCGTCACACATACAAACGCATGCACACAACTCGACTGAGCGACGGCTGCTGTTAGCTATACACAAAATTCTTCGTTTCTCAGGCGCTTACCGATTGCTGAATGGTTTTTGTGGCAATTGTTGTTGTAGGATGTGTTAATATATATATGCATATTTATGTGTATACGTGCGTATGTACATACTGTGTATGTTTGTCTAGTCTGTCGCTTTTTTTCTTTCGTATTTTGTCTCTGCTTATCTACTGCGCATGCAAAATTCTGTGCAAAAAGAAAGCGAAATTTTTACGTGCGCTGCTGCAGTCAACAGAGAGCAGCGCTGCTCTGCAACTCGTATATAAGTATGTATATATGCATGTGTGTGTGTTAAGAATATGTGCTTGTCGTGTGCGTTGGCAAAGATAAATACACGTGTGTTGTGTGTGTGCGTGTGCATGTGTGTGTGTGTGTGTGTGTGTGTGTGTGTGTGTGTGTGTGTGTACGTGTATATACTTGCGTGTGTAAGAGTTAAATATGTATGCACATGTAGCATATGCATAATTAAAGCGCCATAAATTGTTGGATGAATAACTAATTGCTCGTTTTAGAAGTTATTCGAGAGTACCGTTAGATTGCATTCGAAAAGCGCACAATTAGCAGCTGCTAGCCATAAATCATGGATGATGTTTGTTTGTGGTGGGTGAGTGGGCAGAGCATAGAGGGTGGCATGGTCTGGTCACTCTGGTCACAGGTCTGGTGGGACGCAGCCAAGCAATTCATTTCTTGTTATTGGTTTTTTCGTGCTTTACTATACTTAATATATGTATGTATGTATTTGTGTGCATGTGTGTGTGTGTTTGTATAATAAGCAGCAGTTTTCGAAGTCGAAACGCTATCAAAAAAACGTTTGCGTGCTTGGCCCTCTATCTGCAGCTAAGTATGTATGTATATATGTATATGTATATATGATGTATATGCATACATATGTTGTTTATACTTCTAGCTTTTTCCTCTTTATCAGTCAAACGAACGGCCGCTGCGCTCGGCTGCGTCGATGTCGTCGTCGTCGTCGTCGTCGCCGTCGTCGTCAGGTTGATTGAAATAAAAGCTAAGGTTGTTTTTGTTACTGCTGCTTTATTTATTTACTCTAGGCCATTTTGTCCACGATTTCTCAGTTCATTTTTCATGTTCATGCTCTCTTTCTAGTATGTATTATGTGCTTATTTTTCTTTATATTTTTTTACATTTTTTTTTGTAAGTCACAGTTGTGTTTTATATTTACCTTTTGGCTTGTTGTTATTAGATAAATATATACAAAGATGCCTGACAAGTGCACTTGATAGAAACACACACACATGCATGCATACACAGACATATGCGCTTTCTTGAGTATATAATTTATGTAAATACTTACAGATCTGTTGCAAGTGCCGGGATCCATCCACTAACAACATGATCGACAAAAGCTGCTGTCGGCCAGTGTTGCCCTATGCTTTCGGAATGTTAAGCATCAATTTTGAAAGAGGCGCACATCACATGCATTAAATGAGTGTTCGTGTCTCCTTCTGACTGATACGCATTCAATAGTTGAAATTAGCATACAAATCTTTGCAGTGCTTCTTCGCTTCGTGTGTGTAATCTTATATGAACTCTGTAATTTTATATGCATAATGAATACAGAATACTATACAGACTACTGTTGTTGCTGCAGGCATGTTGATCAAACGCAAAAATATTTCGTGTGCATTTAAATTAACAAATTTCAAAGGACCTACCTGGCGGCGGGCGACCCTTTTCATATTGTTTACTCCTTTTCCCTGTTACCCACATAATTTCTTGGAGCCGAGTATAAAATTTCCATGTATTCGATTTGAATTACCTGCCAACAACAACAAAATATATAAATATAAAAAATGAAAGATATAAAACAAAACTTGCCGGGCCTGCCTGTAAGCAGATACCGTTTTTGGCACACAGTAGAAAGCAACAACAGCAACAACAAAATCTCAACAGAGTGAAGAGCATGGCAAAGAGAGAGAGAGAGGGAAGAGAGCGAGAGAATGCGCAAGTGAGAGGCTGGCTATTGTTACCTACCTGCGCCGATTCTCCGCCGCTGACTGCTGCTTATTTTTCTTGCCAATTTCAGCAAATTCCACGCGACGTTCCGTTCATTTTTGCGCGTTTTGCGTTTCATTGTACTGCTGCTCTGTATGTATGTATATAATTCTGTTCTTGTTAAATACATACATCCATATACGTATATACATATATATGTGTATTCCTAATGAACTTTTTTTTTTGACGTGCCTGTGTTTCTTTTTTCGCTATTTGTTGGCGCAATTAACAGTTCGAAAGTTTTAAAGCTGACGTTTGTTAAATGCAAATGTATTTCTATTCTAACAGCGTCGCATGAGCAGTTAACAGCGCTTGTCATGCCATGTAAATTAACATAGAGCAGCGTTAATTGTTGTTCCTGCTGTTTTGGCGTTGGTTTTGGTTGCCCTGTTTAATTGCTTTTTACGCTTGCTTCAGCGTTTCAATTTGCCAACACACAAAAAACGTTGCCTGCGCCAGCCAACGGCCAATAACAACAATAACATGCGGACGCGGGCCAAAAGCGGTTAATACAGCATTAACTATAACGTTACTCTCTTTACCTGTTATTCTTCGACGTTCTCGTTTTTTTTTGCGCAGTGTCTTCGACTTTTCTTCACACACGGCAGGCAGCCGTCTGTCTTTGGCTTGCCGTATTGATTGTTTTAATAGTATTTCTTCTTTTTCTTTTTTTCATTTTTGTTATGCTGAGTTTATTGACATTTGCGCTTGCGCGCGCGATACCAAATTTGTACAACAACAACAATAACAGCAAAACAATTCACGAAATTTGATGTTTTTATTTGTGTTGCTTCTTATGTTAGACATATTTTTGGCATGATCGCTGTGTCCGCGCTGCTTTACTTCTGCGAATCTTATACATATGTAATTCAAAGTGGTGCCCGGCCTGTGCTTTTTCAAGCACATTTTTGCTCTAAGAGTCATGGGACGCGCCTGGCAGCTCTCTTTTTGTACACTTTTTTACTCCACTTGCCATTTGTAAGCTGCAGTGTTACACATGTTGTTTGTGAATGCCATGTAAATGCAAATACAGCCCCATTAAATATTGAAAAACAAAACAAGAACAACAAGAATTGAAATGGCTCCAAAGTTGAATGTGCAATGTGCCAATTGCATAATTATTGTGCTATATAACAGAACTTGCCTAATCAATTGCCTTCTTTGTTTCCCTTCTATGCATTGCAGATGTGAAGAATCCCTAGGTGCTAATTTAGTTGATAAGCGCAAACAAAAAGTACAATAAAGAAAACCAGCAACAACAAAAACTCACACAACACACCCACAAACACACACGGAAACAACACATACATCAAGCGTCAAAATTAACCGACTGGGTGGCAACATTATTAGCGGCAAGAGCAGCGCTTAAAAGTATGCTACAACGAAATTCGGGCGACTGCCGCCGCGTTGCCAGGCAAACGTAGCGAAAGAGCGAAAGACAAACGAGGAGAGACCCAAACCGACAGCGAGAACCGTCAGCAGAGCAGAGCAGAGCAGTGAAGAGAGAGCGGAAGAGACGAAGACAGGCGGAGAAGTGGGAGGGAGAGAGAGCGCTTGCAAAAAACTATTTTTGTTACAACTGCAGGCGCGCGCGACTGCGAAATGTCGAAATTTTTTATAACCGCCGCGCCCAACAGCAACAACAATAACAACAACAACAATAACAGCAACACACAGCGTCAGCAGCAGATTTATGGCGGCGCAACTCAGGTGGTACGCAAGCTCAGCTACGATCCGCTCGGCACCAACAATAACAACAACTACAACAACAACAATATTGTGATCAAAAATGAGAAGCTGCTGGAAATTGAGTACGAGCACAGCGCCGGCAACGATAACAGCAGCAGCAGCAACAACAACAACAATAATAATAATAGCAACAACAATAACAATGGCAGCGGCGTTGCTGCCCACCTGCGAGATCACGTATACATAAGTCTGAACAAAGGCGGTGGCACAACGACGACAACAACAACAACAGTCAACGCTGAGGCAGCGAGCATAAATCAACAGCAGCAGCAGCGCAATGGAGGCGCTGGCAAGGCGAATGATATCACACACTACTACAAGGTAAGCAAAATATCGATGATCGATTAAATTAATCGATCAATAAAACATTTGAGAAGCAGATAAAAATATATATTTTAATTACTGCGTTTATCGATAAGTTTTTCAATTTGAAAACGCTTAACATAAATGAAAGCGATACTTGCAAATACGAGCTAATTACACAAATATACACTCACCACACACACGAAACTCACCACACTCTATCTCTCTTGCTCTCTGTTTCTTTGCGCACAGGTCAAGCGAAGGCCGCACGCAGCCACCCACGAGATCCACCCCAAGAAACAGGCCAAGCAGAGCGCACAGCATCAAACGGTCACCTACAACAACAGCATCAGCAAACAGACGGCCCAACAACAACAGCAGCAGCAGCAGCGCTTCCATCAGCAGCAGCAGCAATACGAAGTCGTCGAGCACGACGAAGACGATGATGTGGAGACGAGCAAACCGAGCGGCAACAACGGTTCCTCATCGCATTCGCATGCACACATCGCGAGGACAGCGACGCATCAGCAGCAGCAGCAACAGACGACGTCGCAGCAACAGCAGACAGCGCTAGTGACTTCCTCATCGGCCTCAACTGGAGGCAGCACCGGCGGTAGCAGTAGTGGTGATCGCAATCGAGCCGACACCTCGCTGGGCATATTGACCAAAAAGTTTGTGGATCTGCTGCAGGAGTCGCCGGATGGTGTTGTCGATCTGAACGATGCCTCGATACGACTTTCCGTACAGAAGCGTCGCATCTACGACATTACGAACGTGCTCGAGGGCATCGGCATCTTGGAGAAGAAGTCCAAGAACAACATTCAATGGCGCGGCGGTCAATCGCTGGTCAGCAGCGAACGTTCCCGCCACATCGAGGCGGAGAGCGAGCGGCTGGAGCAGCGCGAGAATGAGCTCAACACCCTCATCGATCAGATGCGGGGCGAGCTGGCTGAGATATCGCAGGAGGTGGAGAACAGCGGTGGCATGGCCTATGTGACGCAGAATGATCTGCTCAATGTGGATCTGTTCAAGGATCAGATTGTGATTGTGATCAAGGCGCCGCCAGAAGCCAAACTAGTGGTGAGTATTATTTGCTGCGATATAAAAAGTATTAGTTAGTAAGGAAGCCACGGATAACCCCAACTATATCCTTGTCATGGATTTGGTTAATAATGTGTATATAAACATATATATATTTATATATATATCGTATATGCATACATAGAGCTCTGCTAGCTACAAATCTTGACTCGTCCCTCGTTTTCGGGCGACGACGTCAGGCAATTGTGCTTCTTCTTTGCGTCTGCATGCCATTAAAGATGGCGCCCTATTTTTAGAAGCGTCGCAGACGGCGACAAGCGACGCACTGCAAAATGGAACCAACCCCCCTCTCCCATCCATTCCCCCCATCCGACACTGCTTTGCGCTCTCCCTGCACATCATCATCGGGTGAGCAGAAGCAGCAGCAGCAAGCTTTTCCTTTTTTTGATATCAAGCAAGCAGAAAATTTGTTGTGCATATATTTCTCTAACCAGAAAAGTTTTTCCAATCGAATTTCGAGCAGACGTCTTCTGTTCGATTCTGTTCTGTATCACTCTTGTTCTTAGTGTTCGGATCTTCTGGCCAAACACTATTTATAAATATTTCGCTTAATGTTTCCGCTCGCCTTGAACTGTTTAATGAACTCGCGCGTAGCGCACGCACGAGCAAAAATAATAAATGTGAAGGCTGTTCCAAATGTGCTGCGCTCCGATTAATATCGGTTACAGGTGGGTGGGCCGTGTCTAATATTAATATACCATTATCATATACTATTTAATAGACTTGAGTTTCAGTTTATTAATCGATTCAACAGTCTGGCAATACTGTTGCCGTACATAGACAAGAAATTCCAGTGTACAGGCCTGTTATCGCTGCTGTTAATTAACAGCTGTAACTAGATTTCTGTTATTGACCAACATGTTGTGCTTTATTTTTATTTTTTGCAGCTCCCCAACACAAAACTACCGCGCGAGATATACGTCAAAGCGGAGAATAGCGGGGAGATCAATGTCTTTTTGTGCCACGACAATTCACCGGAGAATTCGCCAATTGCGACGGGTTCCAGTTGTGCGGGCGGTGCGCAGGCATTGGGTGTCCACAGCGGCATACGCACAGCGACATCGAAGCGACTGCATCACATGACCAATCAGCACATCGATCCCCTATTCAATAACATTGATGCCATGAGCACCAGGGGTTTAGGTGAGTCAGCTGCAGCCGCAGCCATCAACAAACTCGATTCTATTTTCGTTGTTTCGACTGTTTTCAGGCCCTCCACCATATCGCTTATCGGCACAGCGCAACCTCAGCAAGTCGATTGAGGAGGCGGCCAAGGAATCCCAGCCTGAATATAATAACATTTGTGATATTGGCGGCGTCAAATGTGAAGTGACCTCGCTACAGCAGCAGCAGCTGCAGCGCTCCTCGACGCATGCAGATGATAATAAGGATGATAATGATAATGATGATGCTGACGACGACGTCGACAATGAGCTGAGTCAGCTGGTGCCGACCCTAATCAGTCCCGTGGTGCGTGGCAGTGGTCATCAGCAGCGGCAGCAGAACGTGGCCATTCAAAAAATTATTAACAGCCTAACACAATCCCCGCCAACGACGCGACTCTGGCGGCGTGCGGCGAATTTCGCTGCCAACAATTCCGCCGCGGGCAACACAACTACGCTTAATAGTCATAACAGCAGCAGCAGCAACAATAGCAACAGCAACAGTAACAGTAACAACAACAATTCCCAATCCCACAGCAATAGCAGCAGCAGCACAGTAAATTACAACAACAATAATCAGCAGCAGCAGCAGCGGCGCAGCGATGTGCCCATGTATAACTGTGCAATGGACGACGCGACTGCGACAGCGACATATGCTGTTAGCAATAACAGTAACAGTAACAGAAACAACACCAACAACAATAACAGCGGCAGCCACTCGTCTGCAATAAGCTCGCTGCAAATGCAGTTTGCAGCAGTGGCTGGAAATGATAGCAATAGAGGGCTTGGCGTTGGCTTGGCGGCAACATATGGCGACATCTCTGGCGCTGGCGCCACTGTTGATCAGCAGCAGCAATACAACAACAAGATAAGTTATCGCAATCTGCTGCCAGGCGTCGCCGACTGTGATGCTGACAGCGACGGCAGCACTGTTGTTCTCCAAGGGCTCGATGCGCTCTTCAACGATATCGACACGGACTGTAAGTACTTTCCGACGTTTAACATTTCACTCACAATTATTCTGTGTTTTGTGTGTCGCCGCCGCCTCTCTTATTCGCCTCTCTCATCAGTTCGCCCATCAAATACGCCACACATCGCCTATGTAAATAACAGCAGCAAGTTGTACAGCGACTGTTAACAGTTCGAATTCGAAATGAAGCCCACTCGTCAAGAACTCTCTCTGTGACTTGCGTGAACTTTCATGTGAAAATCGCATCACAGTCTGAGTTCTTGCTGAGCGCGCTTTCGCACCACAGCATACATAAAATCAAAAAAACCAGGCAGTGAAGTGTCTAATCTAATTTTGTATTTTCTGTTTTTTTTTTTTTTTTTTAAATTTACTCAGTATTTCGGCAAGCTACACCAACCACCGAGAATCAGTTCAAAATTGAATTTTTACTATATCATTTCTATTTTTTTGGATTATTTTAATAATTGTAAAGTGAAATGTGTAACATAAACAAATTACCTTAAAAGAAGAGAAAAAAAAAAAATATATAACTGCAGTAATCAGTCGTCGCTCTGTCTTCACACACAAACACACACACGCACACCAAGCATGCTCTCACATTGTCTACACGCTGTTAGGTTAACATTGTGACCAGTGTTAATTAACATTAACTCGAAAATATAAAGTTTCCTTTTGACTATTTTATTAAACTAACAACCAAATACATAAAACCAGTTATCTTAAGGCATTTTATTATACACACACTTACACACACATAAGTCATCGAATTAACCCGCCGCCTTTATGTTGCTCAAATGGGACCATTCTGTATATCAATCCAATCAACGCGCAAGCGCAAATTCATTTTGGAACTGAATTCTCGTGGGTCTGCAGTGCACTGACCGTTGCAGAGGGCAATTGTTCATTTTGAAATTGAAATTTTGTAGCACCATGAGATTCAGCTCTGGCGTGAATTTCAAACATGCATCCACCAAATCAAATCAAATCAATCAAAATAAAAATCGACAAAATTAATACAATAAATCATATCCGCAATTGAAATCAAAACAAATCAAATCAAATAATACCACATCTCTCATCTATGTAAATGGATACGTATCTAATTGTTTGTTTGTTTATGTATATTTGGCTGATTAAATTGTCCTCTCTGTTTGCAGACTTCAATAACGAGGCGTTTGTCTCCATCGATCCCCCGGATGACAACGATTATCCTTATGCGCTCAACGCCAACGAGGGCATCGATCGTCTCTTTGACTTTAGCTCCGATGCCTATGGGCCCTAAGATCGATCGATCGATCGATCAATCCGCAGAAGCCAGCCAGCCAAACACACACACACACACACAAATACACACACACAGATGCACACACAAATACAATTGCGAATCGGGGATTGGGGTTGTAACGGGGGGGTAAAAAGGGGGCGGGGGTGTTTATAATTTTAAATTATATACAAGGAAAGCAGCGCATATTATGTTAGAGATGATCTATTATTACTATATTATAATTATTATTATATTATTATCAAGTACAGCAAAGTCTAAGGAGAAAATCAACAACAGTAAGAACAAAAACAAAACAAAAAAAAAACTATGTAGAAAACATAATGAAACTAAGTTGTGTGTAAAATTTTAGGCGTAAACCTACAATTAAATTTATAATCCAAACGTACTTTAAGTAAAATGATGGAAAAAAAATACCCTCACAAAATGCAAAAAAACACATTTTATAAGCAACTTTCAATTTTTAGCCTTAAACTACAACAAGAAACTTAAAGCAAAAAAATAACAAAAAAAAAAGAAGATAAGAATGAGAACAACAAAAAGATAAGCATCATTACAAAAATATTTTGCGCCAGAACTGTCTGTAAATTAGTACACACACACACACACACTTACACACACTTACACACACACACACGCATAATTTTTAATTAGTAAAACCAAATAGTTATAAAATTAACATTAAATGAAAATAAATCACAACAAACAAACAACAACAAATCAACAATCAACAAACAACTCAAATTCTCAGTTGAAAATTGTAAATTCCAAAATAAAACGCAGTTAAACTGTAAACTGCTGCAACATTCTCTCTCTATCGACCAACTCCCAGTTTAGTCAATAACTGCATGCATCTGAATCAGGATACAATATAGCAATTTAACTGTTAAACAATGACCAACAAGCCAGTCAGCAAACAAGCAAAGAAACTACAACAACAGCAACAACAACAACATTTGTCAATGCTGCATTTTCCGTGTCCTGTCTGCTGTTTTGTATATTTTTAGTTGCCGTTTCAAGCCACCTATTTTCTCTCAGTGCGTTTGATTTAGTTATTAAAGCTAAGTATGCATTATTACTTATTTGTTATTGTTATGAAAATGTAAACTATGTAAACAACACAAGCAACAAACCAACCACAAACTACAAACTACAAAAAAAGCACGAAAACACGGCAGACTTGTTACCTCCTCCATACACCCAAATATAGCAGTTCAAAGTTCACCATCAAAGTCAAAGCCAAATCATCCCCCATATCCACAGTATAGACAACAACAATAACTACAGGAGAGAACATCCTGTAACAACTAACTGCAACTAGTTATTTATACCTATCACCTAGAGGTTAAACAAATTACAAATTAAATGCAAATCAATTACAAATCATAATACAAAATGTGTATAAAACCGAGAAAACGAAAAGCTCTATCAATGTACTTTTATTTTATAAACAAACAAAATACAACAAATTTGTTAGGTACTTTTCCTTCGTTTAAAAACAAAACAAACACAAAAGAAAAACGAAAAAAAAAAACAATTAAATATTAAAAGCGAAGAAAGCATAAAATGAAAACATGTCCTATTTACTTGGGTTGCGAGATTAAAAAATTATGGGTTAATATTATTTCTCTTATTGCGCTAGTCCTTTTGAACCTAGCCCACTAGCCTAGCTATGTCCTACATGATGTCGAAAGGAGACGTCATTTTGAGCTCGCAGCGAAAAGGACTCGATTGACATTCAAAGATTTTCAGGATTCGCCAGAACAATTTTGTCATATCCGGCGCAACTTGGCTATTTCACGGACTATCCGGATGTCCTTTGGACCACAAATAATCATTGACTTGCCGATTCGAATAAATTAATACAAATGATGAAAGTACAATACATAAAACAAAAATACCCTGATCTCAGTCATATCCTTTGATATCCTGAAGGGTCATGTGTCGAAAACAGTTGTCTTGAACCAGTTGTACCAACTAGCCAAAGGACATCCAGATTGTTCTTGTAGTTTCCTATAACATGAGGATTTGGTTATTTCGACTAATTTTCCTTAACCCATCAAATCTAATCTAATCAAATTTTTACAATTAAATTTTTCTAACGCACCATGTCCTTCGAAAATATGTAAGAGCTTGTCAGAGCTAGAGCTATTTTCCCGAAATCCATTGCATTAGCCCTTGGCATACCCTAAAAGTATGCTCGAAAACTCTTGTTTTCCAGAGACACGCGTCCACCACGAATTCGATTGTTTGTTCTATAAATATGCTTTAATTTTTGGTTTATTTTCAGAGTATTCAGTGTTTTTTATTGACTACAAGAAAACAGATTTTCTTTGGCTTTATGGGTCTGTTAGTCTATCAATTACGCATGATTATTAACTTCTGCTTGTATCCGTGTCTTTTCATGTTCTACGTGTGAAGTTGACTTGAAGTTGAAAGAAAGTGTCAGTTAACCGCACATTTGACCCAATAATAAACAATTTGAATTTATTTCTTTATGTATTAGTTTTTATCATAGTCTCGCCATAATATTTTCGTTACATCATAATATGTGTAGTTGATTATTTCGCTTATATAAACAGGAAACAATTAACTTAGCTTTACATTTACAATTAGCTTTAGTTAGAAATAATAAAAATATTGAAGCTTTTTTGTTGTTTGTTTTGTATTAATTTATTATTTGATAGGTTTTTGTTTTATAGGTGTATATATATATACACCAAAGCAGCTAAGTGCGCCAACTATGCAGAATATATAATATCTATATAAAAAGTTGCAGTTCGACATCGTCGCGGCTGCCATCAAAAGTTTATTACAAATTTTGTTGTTGTTGCTGTTAAACATTTGCAGTTCGTTACAAAAATTGAGTTAATTCAACTATTAAATATACATAATTTTTTATAATGCTTCGGCTGCTGCGTTTTATATATGTATGTATATGTATGTATATAAATTTATTGTTGATTTAAATTTACGTTGATTAATTTATAATTCCATTAATTGTTTTTACGTTTTCATTTCGCATTAAGTTTACAATTTTCGTTATGTGCTTTGTTATGTACATAAAAACAAAAGGAACTATATTTTTCAGTCTTTTTAGTGTGTGTGTGTGTGTGTGTGTGTGTATGTGTGTTGTGTGTTTTTATGTAGAATATCTATTGTTTTTAACGTATTTTATATTTAATTTAATTATTATTTCAATAATTTTTTGTTTTTCTTTTTCAAATGTTTTTAATCGATTTTATATTCTAGCAGTTTGTATAATTCATTTAAATATTTTAAGTGTCCTTGCTTTATTTTTCTTTGCATCTATAAAATAAAATAAGAAATAAACTTTGCTTGCTTTTTTTTTATCTCCATCAACTTGTTTCTGTCTATTTGTTAATGTACATTTATATAAAGAGCGAAGGCAAATATCGAATACTTTTGTTGTTGTTGTCGTTATTATTATTTTAGCATTTTCAATCTCCATTTTGTTACAGTTGCAATATTTGAGGAGAAAGTGTGTGTGTGTAAGTGTGTGTGTGTGTGTGTGTGTGTATGTGTAATTTTGAATTTCTTTTCTATTCTTGTTTCATTTATGTAGCAAGTCTTGAAATGGTTTCGTGTTTAATTTTCTAATTTTATAAAACTGTCAGATATTACGCTCAGAAACATATCACGTGCAGAACATAATTGCATACATAAATACATATGTAACAAGGTATATGTATTGGTATGTGTATATAAGTTTGTATTTATATGTTTGTAATTCGTCTATTGCTTTTCCATGTATTTGTATTTGTATTTGTATTTGTATTTGTAGTTGTCTATGATCCATAGATATATGTACGTATATATATATTGACATCTAAGCGCTTCATTCTTTTTCGTCGGATTCTCGTTTCTTGTTCTACTTAATTTGAGTTTATGGCAATATCATATACATTCTACCTGTTTATGTGTGCATGTGCATGTGTATGTGTGTAGCTGTGTTGGAGTAAATTGCGATGTATAATACATATATGTTAATATGTATATAGCATGTAAGTGTGTAAGTTATGCAGCAGTTACTTAAGCTCTCAATTACGTATTTTGAAGCTTGGCTTCAATCAAAATTAATTTAGAGAAAAAAAATTGAAACAAAAAGAAGATAACAAACACAATGTACAACTCTTTCTCTCTCTAACCCCCTCTCTCTCCTTCTCTATCTACCTCTCCGCTATGTATATGTATGTTTATTTATGTATGTATGTGTGTAAAGTATATAAATATTTTTTCTCAGCACAAACTTTTGCCAGTTGCCAAGCGCCATGCATAAAATCAGCGAACATTTCTCTTTTTTTTTTTGTGTTTCATTTACAGACAGCATCGTTTTTCTATATTTATTTTTTTTTAACATAAGCGCACTATAAACTGCCAATATATAAAAAAAATATATATGAGTACATATACACAAGTTGTAGTCAAAGTTTTAGTTGAAAATAGTAGCTAACTAATTGAAGGACCTTAACTCAGTGAAGATTTTGTTTGTTGGTCTGTTTGTTTTGTTGGATTGCTTAGGAGCTTGTAACGGTGTGCGTAGTTGTGGTTGTGTTTGATTTTGGTAGTTGTACAGTTAGTTTGCTTCATTGTTGCATCGCTTCGTGTTTTGCGTTTTGCGTTTAGGTAGGTACTAAAATAATTATTATAATTACACATAAATTAGGTTAGGTCTATACATATGTACACACACATATATGTATTTTGTCTATGTCTAGTTATAAACGGTACTTAGGTTGGTTGGTTGTTGGCTTTTGTACTTTTGTTATTTGCATTTAGGACTTGTTTTGTTTTGTTGTATGTATTTTCAAACGGCGCTAGTGAATTATAAAAGAAATACTTAACAAATACGAAAACATACATAAATTAAGCTTAAATTTTATAATAAATTGTTAGGAGCCTTGGCTGTGGGCAAAAGTTTGCTGGCGGCCTTAATGTTAAGCATGATTTACATATGTTAAGGGGTAACATCAGCTAACAACTAACAGCACAAGTTTAACAGCGCTCAGTTAACAGTGCATTTTTGTTTACCTTTGCTCAAGCTTGGCTACCGTTCTCGTTCTCTCGTTCGCACGCTCTCTTCTACTCTCGCTCTCTCTCTCTGGCTCTCTGTCTGTCTGTGTGCCTCTCTTATACCAATCGAGTTATATTATAAGCATGCATTGCAGGCGCTCTCTCGTTCTGAGTACCCCCGTCCGTTCAATATTCCTACATATTTTATGCTAATTTCTACATATACATTTACATGTATCTATCTATTTACAAACTTCTCCCTCGACACTTGCGATCTGTTTACGCTTCGCGTCCTATGAAACCATTGGGTGGCGGTGGCCTCGGCGTGTTCGCCTGCCTTAGCCAATTTTCCTTGAGTATATTGGACGTATTGCCAGCCGATGCAGCAGCTGCTGCTGCCGCTTGTTGTGCAGCTGCCGTCGGCGCTGTTGTCTCCACTTTCCGCGTCTGACTGACGCTGCGACTGCGTGGCTGGTGCTGCTGCTGCGGCTTGATGCGTGTGCGCTGGTTCTGCCGGCTGAGCGGCATGCGCTCCATTTTGATGTGCTCCGTGTGCTCATCGGCATCATCGTCATCGCTGCATTTGAAAATTCAAACTTAAATAAATGTATACCCAAAAAACAAAAAACACAAGTTTTTTTTTTCATGACTTACTCATCGTCATCATCGTATTCATCGCTGCTGCTGTGCTGCAGTTCAGGTCTGTCGTGCATTACCGCATAGTTGGGATTATCGCTGGTAAAAACCGGACCCTGTTCCGATCCGGTTTGCGGCTCACTCATCAGCACATAGTTGGGATTGGCGCTGAGCATGCTGAATGGTGTTGCTGCAGTTTCCGTGCCTGGTGCCTGCATAAGCTCATAGTTGGGATTCAGACTGCTGGTAGTCAGCTGTTGGGGCCAAGTAGAATTCACAGGATCCGCACTGGTCACAGACTCGTCCAGCAGCTTGTAGTTGGGATTGTCGCTAATGATTGCTGTGCTGCCATTGCCACCAGCGCTGGGCGTCATCGCTGTGGGCGTGTAGAAGCGTGGAGTACCCGTGTAGCTGCCCGCGCTTCCACTGCCGCCGCTCTCGATTGTGCCCAGATTGGGGCCCATTGTCACCATTGCCATGCCGGACGGATGACTGGTTAAATTTGTGTTGCTGCTACTGCTGGGCGCATTCGAGATGTTGCTCTTGTGGCTCTCGTTGCTGTCGCCGCGCTTCAAATTGAAGCGATTGAGCAGCCCATAGCCAACGCGATTCCGCAAAGTGTCGGCGACGACTCGCTTGAGGCTCGGATGACGACTGCTGCTTCCAGCGTTCGAGCTGGTCCCCGACGCTGTTGAGGGCTGCAGTGAAGAGGAGACAACACCGCTGCCGCCGACCCCGCCGCCGGCGCCGACCACACTACTACTGCCACAGCCAATCACTTCGTCCGGCATCGAGCTGCTCATGCTGGGCATAATAATGGCGCCGCCGCCGCCAGCGCCGCGTTTCGCTTTCAACAGCAAATGCTGCTCACCACTGAGCCGGCCGCTATCGCTGTGTGGCAGCTCCGCAAAGTTTGGACTTGGATCGTACAGTTCATAGCCGCGCTCGGCATCCGCTGTTAGCGCCGTATTGCCATCTGGCTGCACATATGCCGCGTCGTCAATGTGCGAGCCGCCGGCTGTGGGCAGCGTGGACAGCGCATCCGGTGTGCTACTGACTATGTAGCCCGAGTGCATGCTAAAGGGTGAATGCGTTGTGGCCTTGTCATCGACCAATGCGATGGGACTCTCCGCTGGCTGGTCCATCGATGTGTTGTGCTCCATGTTCGACTTGTAGCCCTGGTATTCGCCCACACGTAACGGCGTTGTGGCATCCTCACCATCCACATCGGCATCGAGATGAGCGCCCGAAAAGACATCCATTTGATTGCGCTCCTTGCGATTCTTCTCGCGATACTGCACACCCGCATCCGAATAGTAGAAGGCGACCTCTTTAAAGTGCGGATCAGCTAGGTGTTCCAAATAGACAATTATATCCAGGAACGAGGGACGCGCTGTCGGTCGATGATGCCAACAGCGATGCATTAACTTGTGCAATAGCTCCGGACAATTGTCCGGTCGTTCCATAATACCGCCGTCAATGACATAGCGCAGCACCTGCTCATTGGACAGGCCCTGGTAGGGCTGTGAGGCGAGCGTCGCCATTTCCCACAGTACAACGCCAAAGCTGAACACATCACTGGAGCTGGAATAGACGCCGTCGCGCAAACTCTCCGGCGGCATCCAGCGCACGGGCAGCAAACCCTTTGTGCCCTTGCGATAGTAGTCCGTTTCGTAGATGTCGCGCGTCATGCCAAAGTCACCAATTTTCACAGTCAGATCGGCGGCAACCATGCAATTGCGTGCAGCCAGATCGCGATGGACGAACTTTTTGGCTGCCAGATAGGCCATGCCATCAGCAATTTCGATGGCCATCTGATAGATGCGACTGTATGGAGGTGGCTGTACGCTGCCCAACGTTGCTCCCGTGCTGTTGGTGAACCCAATCTGTCGCTGTTGGTCGCCAGCCAATACACCCTCCCGTTCGTCGGGTCGATGGGCGCGCAGATACGACTTGAGATCGCCCTTTTTCATCAGCTCCATGATGACCAGAGCGGGCTGGCCACGCGAACAGACGCCAAGAAGCCGGACCACATGGTATGTGTCGAACTCCTTCATCACGCTCGCTTCGCTCAGGAAATTGGTGCGCTCCCGATCGGTGGCATTCTCGTTAACCGTCTTAAGCGCACACGGCGTATCCTCGCCATTTTGACTCTTGAGTATGCCCTCGTAGACCATGCCAAAGGAGCCCTGACCCAGTGAACCCAGCTGTAAGACACGCTCGCGCGGCACTTCCCAGTCATCGGGCACGTATTGTAGACTTGCATAGAATGGATTCACTTCCGTATTTATGATTAAATCATGCGGGGTTCCCTTCCTTCGTGCAATCGAGCAGCATATGTAAACGATTATCAGTACAAAGACGAGACAAGCCAGGAAGCCTCCAATTAAAATCCATGTTGAAATACCAGGTGGCTGCAATCAGAAGAAGTTTTAAAATGGAATGAAGCCAGCTTAAATTAGTGAACTACATACCGACACTGTGACGTAAACAGCGTCCGTAAGTTCTCCCTCGCCGGCCAATGACATTGCCCTTATGCGGAAGCTGTATTTGCCTTCATTCAAATTGGTCATGATATAGCCGCTCTGATTGTGATAGTCATGGACTGTGATGCATCTCTGCTGCTCAAAGGCATCCTGTTCCTGTCGCTTATAAAAAATCATATAGGAAACGATGGCACCGTTCGGATGCAGAGGCTCCTCCCAATGCAGACGAACATTGCCACGAGTGGTGTTAACGTTATCCATCAGCTCGCCCGTTAGATTAAATGCTTTATCCACATGCTCTGTAAGGAGACAATTTAATTAATTGATATGCATATCAGTACGCCTTAAAGGCCCAGCCCAATTGAATGAGTGCTTACCCAGCTTTTGAGTTCTCTTTTCCCAGGGTTCGGCTTCGCTGCACAAGGGTTGAGTGTCGTCAATCTCTGGCTCCCGGCAAGCACGCACGGTTAGGGAGTAGAACGAAAAATGTCGCAGATTCGTGAAAAGGAACTCGGTTGTATTCTCATTTACCTCGGCGGAGAAGATCGTGAAATAGGACCCAGTTTCATCCATATCCGTCATATTCAACCAGTTCTCCGTTTTATCATTGGACGTGACACTCGGTGGCATCGGTTGCCCGATCTGCGATTCAGTCGCATTATTATTCGAAGAGCGTATGTGGCGCATTAGCACGCTGCCCATCTCGTGTTCGTCCTCATCTATTTCGATGTAACGCCTGCGCCTGCGCTGGATAGCATTTGGACTGGCAAAGGAGCCAGCGCCATCGATAGTGCTGTCATCGCGCTTCTTCGGCACGAAGAGGAAGTTTTGTAGCGAGTTCTCGAATTCGATGTCATCCAACAATTTCGCCTCAACCTTCTGCTGATCGTATACGCTGCGACCGCCCGCATCGCATTTGCAGTCAGGGCCTGGCATCTCTTTAATTGTCTTTTCCGCCGGCGACGAGAAGGTCATCTTATCGATGGAACTATTTGGCAATGCTATAAAAATGTTGGGAGATGTTGGATAAGCACACTAATTTGATGACTCTATGCAAAATAATTGTGGTCACTTACGATCCCAACAAAAGTTGCGCTCCTGTTCAGCGTCACGGTGAATTAGCTCAGCGCGTATCTGGTACTTGATCAATTTGCCATTCATTAGCGCCGGTCTTTTCCAACTAAGTAACTATAATTTGTATAAATGAACAAATGGATGGAATGGTACAAGTGGTTAGGGAAACATTCAACACTCATTAACCCCGGGATCATACTCACAATTCTCGAGCTGTTTGTGGAGATGGCACTAATATTGCGCACCTTCGTTGGCTTGTTTCCCATCGTTCTGAAACGTATTATTTCACTCTGATAGTTACGCTTCTCCGATGATATGGTCATGGTGCGCACATAGACCGCGTATTTGGTATACGGACTCAAATTTTGTATAAGGGTAACATTCTGTTTGCTCGGTTCAGTCACTTCCCATCTGTAAATCGAGTAAGAGACGATACTTTAATGCCAATTTATTACTTTGCCATTAGGGGTGACGCACTTATCCGAACAGGGCTGATAGTCCCTGGTCATATTGCCATATGGATCGGCGGTATGATAGAATTGGTAGCCAATGAAGGAACGATCGTCATCAAAATTCACGATTGAGCTATTGATCGCTAATGCAACAAACATGCTTCCTGTCGCATTCACTTTCACGTCCAAATTGATCGTATTGCCTGTCGTACAGTTATTATTAATTAGGTAGGTAAACATATATAGTACGTATATGGGGATATATATTTCATTTCATTATAATCAACATACATGACGCCTTGCTGCCGTTGGAATCTTCAGCCACCTCGTTTTTGTTAAACTTATCTGGCTTGCCGGGCAGCATAGGTTTCAGCTTTTCAATGGTTTCGAGGCATAGTTTTGGATTGAAGTGAAAGAAGACGCTGCCAGTCGTAATGCTGACTGTCTGATTTTCGGCCCATATCGTCTCCAGGTCTTGATTCTCCAGCACATAGAAAGCATAGCGACCCTCTATCAGTTTATTCCCCCTGATCGTTCGCAGGCTTTTGAAAAAGTCCAGCGAGGTGAGGCCATAGGTTAAGTGTACCTTTAGATACGTATTTATCGTGTGTATCGATTCCAAGCCGAACTTCAGGGCTTCCATCATGTGCGCTGTAAGGATTAGGATTAGTAATATATATATATATATATTAGGATGAGCTGACTCTGCTCAAATCTATGTTGATTGTCTTACTTCCGCCACGCTTGACAGTTATGGTCAGTCCCTTTTGGTCGATAACAGTGCAGCCATGGAACTCCTTCGCTCGCTCCACGCTTTCAATTATGTTCCCTTTGCAAGTCAGCTCGCAGGTGCCGTTGCACTTCTTACATGTGTTTTCAGTTTTTTTGTAGCCCTTATCACACCTCGTTGTGCACTTGCCGTTGTAATGCACCAACTGCTGCTCCTTGTTGCTCTCGTATTTATTGCCAATCTGTTCGCACATTTCCGCCGTGATGCATCGTTGTTCGTACTGTGATTCAAATTAGTGTCGATCAGAGTTAAACAGAAGAGTACTTGTTGCAATGTTGCAACTTACCAGAAAGTAGCCATTGGGACATTGGTTTATGCATTGGCCGTCAATGGAAACATTGCGACAGGCAGTGCACTCGCCCAGATTGCTATTGCAGCTCCCCAGACAGGATTCGTTGCAGCAATGCTGGTCATCAATGCAGTTGTACGGGCACTCCTTCGGACAAACTATAAACACAAGATGACATGGATGTGTATTGCGAAACTTACAGTTTTAATTAAGATCAACTCACTTGTCTGGCACGCTACGCTGCTCCAGCAGTAACGCTTTTTATCCGGATACTCCCTGCACGCGCCAGCATCCGCCATGGAGTTCTCCAGCATATCGTTGCCCTTCATTTCGCCCAGACAGCTGGCACATTCCGCTTCATTGCGATTGAACTTCAACACAATGTCAGAATCCGTGACATTCTTGGACACGATCTGGCGCCAATTGACCGTCTTGACAAAGCACAGATAAGTGTTCCTCTCGATGCGCACCCCTCCATTGGTAATGGCTCGCAATTTGGTCAGCCCAATGTCAGTCAGATCCCGATTTTGATATACAACCAGGGCGTAGCTCTCGAAGAGTATATTACCGCGTATCACGCTCAGGTTGGGAAAGATTTTCGATAACGACAACAGATTATACACACGATAAACGAGTATATAGCCAGTGACCTCGGTGAGCATCGGATATGTTTGATTCAGCTTATCCGCATCGTTGATCAGTGTTATTAGCAAAAAGCCTTCAATGACCGTACAGTTGGCCAGCTGACTAAGCTCTGATATATTGTTGCGTATGTCCATCGATTTGCATGCTGTTCCAAAGAGAAAATGTGTTATTATTTTTTGTATTCCATCCCGTTGAAAATGTCCTTATACCAATTAATCCAAAGCTTTGCAATCAATAAAACAAAACATTTTATTGTCATCTCGTTTTCATATAAATTCATATTGTTTAAGTGCTGCACTAAAGCAATCTTTGCCAAACCAATACTAGTAACTTGATATAGGGCATTAATAGGTGCAATAAAATGTCATAAATCTAATATAACATAAATATGTTTTTATATTATCAAAAATAAAAATAGATACTGCGTTTAGTTTCAGATAAGATAATCAATTTGATCTGCGTGAGGTATTCAAGGAGTATGTTCAAAATTGTAAGCCTCAGGCGATCGGCTTGTTCACACAAATATATCGAAAATACATATCTTTAACGCGATCAGAGATGCTTCCTTCTGCCTGTTATATTATTATTATGGAGGAGGGTGGATTGCATCGCGACCTACTCGATCTATTGTGCCCCTTCTGAGCCTATAGCTCTTCCATCAGCCCAGCTGCCGCACGAGTGTGAGAATCTTGGTTGGGTTGAGGTCTTCCATGTCTCTGAAATTCATAACATGCATTCCTAGGATGCTGCATCTTTTTCTAGTTAAGGCGACACATTCTCTTTCACAAAACGTGTACAGTTCGCTACTATATATACCTAGTTTAGTTAGGTGACTTCTTAGTCTACAGTGTCCTATCAATAGACCGGTAAGTATCCTAGGACTGTACTTTCCCATGGTTATAGCTTGCCTGTTATATGCTTGCACAACTCTATTATACATTTTTCCCCATTATGTCAAATACTAGTAGAGAAACCAGTGTTGCCCGACTTACGTATTTCTTTATGCGCCAATCGTACGTCACTGGTACTGATGCCGTTACTGTCACTTCCATTGCCAATATTGCGCGCATTGGCTTTTCCTCCGGTGCTACGTGGTTGCCTCGACATGGAGGCCAAACTGTCAATGATGCTACGCTGAAATGTGCCCTGATGCTGCTGCTGCTGCTGTTGCTGTTGCTGCTGCTGTTGTTGTTGTTGATTTTGTTCTTGCGTGATTGGCGGCAGCATCGAAAATGCTGCTGCTGTTGTCGCATGAAATGCTAACATTGCGAGGAATGTGTATGTGTATGCGAGTCGCCTGTATGGATGTTTTTTGTCTTTCGCAAATGGTATAAATTGTCTTAATGATTCTCGTTGACTGAATTGTGGTTGCTTGTTTCGGCGTCTGTTCAACAGATTGTTGCAGCAGTGTCGCAATATCAGCATTGGCTGTTGCACAAACAGCAGCAGAATTTGCAGTGTGCCCAAAATGCTGTATGTGTCAACATTTTGCTGCTTTTGTTGGCTTTGCTTATTGCAGGTGTGTTTGTTAATATTGTAATTATTCTTGTTCTTGTTCTTCTTCTTATTGTTGTTGTTGTTATTGCAGTGGCAATTGGCTGTTGTTGTTGTTGTTACTTTTTGGTTACTGTCATTTGTACTATTACTACTATTTCTTCTTCTTCCTCGAGAATTGTTACTACTAATTATAAAGCAACATGCACGCGAGATGCTGGCAGCATTGTGCAGCTGCGTTTTCTGACGATGATGATGATGATGATGTTGGCAGCTGCAATGTTGCGCCGACTCCAACTTGCTGAGGAATGTTGTTGGTGTTGCATCGCTTTTTCTTTTACAGTAACTGACACTGTTAATGTTACTGTTACTGTTGCTGTTACAGCTACTGTTAATATTACTGCTTCTGTTTTTGTTGCTGCTGCGGCTACCATTGCCACTGCCACTGCTACCGCTACTGCTGCTGCTGCTGTTGCTGCTGTCTGCATAGGAACTGCTGCTTGTTGCTGTCTGAATGCAACAACATGTTGTTGTTGTTGCGAACACTTGTCGGCATATGACACAAATGTTGCCATGCGATGATGCTGTTGTTGTTGTTGTTGATAATGATGTTGCCGTCGTCGTTGTTGTTGCTGTTGTTGATATTGATGTTGTTGCTGTTGCTGTTGCTAATACCTCATTAGTTGATGTTTCTCTTTTTATTGTTTTTGTTGTTGTTGTTGGTCTTGCTCCACTGCCGCGGCATCGCTGCGGCAATGAGATGGTCCAATCCATTGAAGACGCAAACCACTCGTATTCACTGCTGGACAACGGGATCTTATTGGATATGAACATTCTTCTTCTTCTCGTTTGCATCCTTTCCTCCGCGGGAAAACGTGTTGAGTGATATTCCCTTGAATATTGTAAATTTTTTATTGGTGATTCCATGTTTTTCGCAAGTTGTTGTGGTTTTTCTTCTTCTTCTCTTTTTTGGATACACTGCAAATTATTTGTTAGGGGCGCGGGCCCACTAAGTAATCATTGCAGCTTTTGCTTGTTCTCTCCCTCTCTTATTCTATTACTCTCTCTCTCTCTCTCTCTTTCTGGGGTTGTGTGTCTTCTCAGACTTTTTGTTGTTGTTTTGGTAGTGTTTTTGTATTTAACGTAGTCAGTTGGAATGCTTTTTGTCGTCGTTGTTTGTTGTTGTTGTTGTTATTGCTGTTGTTGTTGTTGTTGTTATTGCTGTTGTTGTTGTTTTTGCTCGAAACTATAATGAAAAGAGAAAAAAAAGTGCATTTGTTGTTGTTAAGTTGCTTTTAACACAAAATACGAAATACGAGCAGTGGGAAAAAAGAACAAAAACTACGTAATATTTATGTGACGGGCAATAACAATAATTTTATGCGAAAAAGAGCGCCAAAGGGCGCTTAACACTCGAGTCGTGTCGACGATGACGCTTGACGCGTTCCGTTATCGCTTTAGAGTTGCCATATATATATATATATATATATATATATATATATGTATATATATATATACTACATTTCCACTACAATTCTACTAACATTTTATGAATGCAATCAAAGGTACATAAGTGTCCATATAAAGTTGCTCCTTATTGTTTCACTCTCTCTATCTCTCTCTCTCACACACATACAGATATTACATTTTAGGTAACATTTTCATGTATGCAATCATAACATTTTTAATATGCTCATACACAGCATGTGTGCATTTTATTTCTCTACATACATATGTTTGTATGTATGTACTATGTATATTTGGCAGCATCTCCTCTCATATCATCTCTCGCGCCTTATCACTTTTTCTCTATCCATGTATTTGCAAAAAGCGATCTAAAAGCTCACGCAGATTCTCAAGGCACAACAACAATTACAGCAATAATTTTATGCGGCAAAAGAAACATGAATAAATAAAAGTGATTATTATAATTATTTTTGTTATTGCTGTTGTTGTTGTTGTTGCTGCTGCTGCTGTTGGCCAAACAGCATTGACGTTTGTTTGCATGACGCGCGTCCGCCGTCGCATTGACGTTAAAACCGGGCGAAAGAATGAGACAGTAATAGTGACAGCGACTCCGGCAGCACGGCTATTGTAAAAGCGTAGTAAATTGTAAAAACAAAAAAAAAAAGAACATGAGAAAAAGGGAAAAGTGTGCGTAGCGTATTTACAACTACGTTGTAATTCATCAACTTGACGCTGCCCCCTCGCACAGGGTGTAGCCGGTTCTTAGGGCGTAAAAAAAAACAAAATGCGGCTGCGTTGTCAGCGGTATGAGCGCCGTTGCTGCTGCTTTTGGTGAGCGCAAAACGTGGCACCAAAACAGAGAAAAACTGTAAGCAAAAAAAAAAACAAAAACAAATGCGAGCGCGGGAGTTGACCGAAGGAGGCGGGGCACTAAGAACACCACCCGCCTCTTCTTCTTGTTGTTGCAGTAGTAAAAATGCTGCTGCGTAGTTAAAATGTACTCACACACATTCTCACATTCGCACATTCTCACGCATGCATACATATTTATGTGCATGTAGTGTCTGTCTGTACATATACATAGTTGTATACAAATACATACTATTAACAGTTTTGTTCTTGCGGCCCTGTCAGGCTGCGAATTGTTTTTGCTGCCCATAACATTAACAATAATAACGATACAACAATAATAACAACAACACCAACAACAAGCGGCAGCCTAGCCAACGTCGCTCTCTCTCTCTCATCTCATGCTCTCTTTTTGTGGTGCTCACGCACACGACGTGCTCTCTCTATCTCTCTCTCTCTCTTCTCTCTGTCGTTCTCTCTGTGTGTGTCTTCCCAGCTAATGCTGCGGCGGTCGCTTGTTTTATTATGCTTTATTATTTCTTGTTGTTGTTTATGTTGTTGTTGTTGCTGTTGTTGCTTTTATTGCGCAGTAACAAATAATATACAAATAGTCAGCCCGGTCGGCCCACAGTCGCGGTTCAAAGCCAACGGCGCCATAAATAATTAGAGAGAAAAGAGTAACAAAATTGAAATAGTCAACTAAAATAATTAAAATGTACATATGTATGTGAGTGCATACACACAATAATAATAGCACATACTAAAGACAATAACAATAACAATAATGCTAATGCTAAATAATAAATGAGCAACTGCACACTGCAGGTTAAGTATAATTGAAACGCCATGACACCTGCCATATATACACTCGTAATTTGATTACTCCCTCTCGTTCTCCCCTAACGGTATTTAGTTTTATTTTGCTCGCTCTCCGCAATCAAAGGCATCGTCGCATAGTTTTAAAGCCTCAACAGGGCGCATTAGCTATGATGCTGACTCTCTAACTGTATAACTCCTTCTAGTTGTACACATACATACACACCTACAGCAAAAGAGAGGGAGGGAGACAGAGAGAGAGAGAGAGCGCGCGCAGAAGAGTGATTAAGAGAACCAACGGCCAGTGTACACAGTGGATGTCAAACTGCTTAACAACAACAAAAACATTATTGCTGACACTGACCCAATTCCTCTAATTTTTATTATTTTTTTTTTTTATTATCAGGTGAAAAAAGCGCAACATTTCCGTCTACACGATGTCAACGCAATACTACAAAAATGATGGCTAACACACACACACTCACACACACACACACACGCTTATCAGCTAGCTACACATGGAAAATTAACAGACGCCACCCACTCTGCAATTTTGTTGTTTAATTTCGTTAAACTCAGCCCCAGGCGCCACTGTGCATGCGCTCGTTAAATGTGTTAAGGTGCAATTGGCACGCTTAACTATTATTATTGTTGCTGTTCACTGTTATATATATTTTTTTGCTTTATTTTTTTTATTTTTTATATAGCAGAAAAAGCTAAAGGGCGTGCATGTGGTTGCAATATTTGTATACCCTTGCAAATCGTATTCTAATTTTGTCAATAAGTTTGTAACGCATTGAATGACCCCATCTGGTATAGGCATATACATTCTCCAACAGCATCACTGGCAGAATCGATGTTGCCTGTCGGTTTCTGTGCGAACTAGTCCCTCCCATTGTCATAGAGTTGCCATTGGAACAATTGGTCAAGTGTCTGCAAGAGTATGTAATCTTCGGCGTGCGTAAAATAACCCATTTTTTGTTTGTTTTGAGTGAAATGCATTCGCAATGCTACGCCTGACGAAGCGACGCCTCAAAGCCGCAACTGCTAGCTGATGACGCCAACGCCGATGCTGCTGTTGCTGCTGCTGCTGCTGCTGCTGCTGCTGCTGCTAACCGAAAGCATCTGACTCATTATTGCAACAATAAGAAGAGCAACAGCAAACAGCAACAACATTGTATAAATCAACAATAACAACAATATTAACGACGGCATTGAGGCTGGCAATAACGGCAAACAGAAACAATCAAACACCAACCGCCAACCGCCAAACACCAACAACAAATACCACTCTGCGCTCTGCGGCGTCCAAAAGGCAACAACATTCCAATCCGACAGAAAGTTGCCAGACCAGTTAAGAGCCGCCGCAGTGACAACAATAACAATAACAATAACAAGAAACTAAAGCGTAGCAATGCATGAAATATTTCTTATGCTCCAAATCCGCCACTGGGCAAGTTTGTATTTTATTTTTGTTCATATTATTTTTATCGTCTACACGCACACAGAAAAACAAAAGGCCGAGCGGCTGATGAACATAGTATGAATAAAATCACAGAGTTAACATATCTTTTTAGACCAAAGCAAATTTATCATTACGGTTAACGATTAATGATTTCAGCCAATCTGTAGGCAAAAATCCGTTGAGCTGTTTACACTTATCGATCTAGAAATGTGAACTCTCCGATGATGTAAGAATTTTGAGAACATATCAACCACAACAACAACAACAAACAACAAACACATCTCATCGTTTCGTCAACACTTGCACAAATATTTCGTTAGAAATCAAAGCTAAATGCTAAATATGTATATTTATTTTTATATACATATTTATAAGGCTATAAAGTCATAATTTGTTAAAATTATATTTTATTTAACTACAACTTCTACAATTATAATTACCACACAGACTGTTTATTAAAACGAATAGCTTCCACATATTGATCATATTAATTGGGAATATCAATGAATTATATGGAACATATGTTTATTAGTTCAAGTATTTCAATTATACTTGAAATAAATGTTGTTCATAATGATAGTTTCTTTATTTGTTTTTGCTTTCATCAACAGCTTTGTCATTGTGACTGTAAGTCTGTACAACTAAACTAAAATAAACTACTTCTCGTAATTTCATCATTTTTGTCGACGCCTCTGGAACAATAGATGGTCACATGTAGCGCCTAATCTCTATGACAAGGCCCCACCGAATTTGCCAAGTCATTGAAACTATAGCAGCAGAGAGGAGAGCAAGCAGAGCAAGAAAGAGAAGTAAGAATGAGATTAAGAATAATAATAAGAGAGAGGCAGGTAGGCTGGCAGTTAGGCAGAGCAAGAGCGTACAGGTGAAACTAAACTTGTTATACATGTATATGTATATATAAATATACTGTATAAATAGTTAGTTAAACTATGTGAGTGTCTGTGTGTGTGTGCGGGTATAGAATTCAGCTCGTCTCGACTCGACTCTCGACTCTCAACGAAGTT